TACATTTATACAAATCATTTTATAATATGTATTTACTCTGATTAGGTTGAAGTGCTGTATCTCACTCTGTCTTTGTCAGTAAAAAGCGCCGAATCATTACTATACAACACACCTAATACTAATAATACTTATAATCAGTTGTTTCTTCGTTACCTTTTAGTGACACCGAACAACATAAATGAACATTTCTACATAACCTTTAATCCTGATGATCCACATCGGTCCTGATGAGGCAGGATGACAGTCGCTGACTCTGTCCAGTTATCTGTAATTCTTTAATGTTTATTCCTCTGAGTTTGTTTATAAGAAGTGAACAGGAACCGGCTGCAACTAATAAGCAACAATATATTATATATTTCCTCATTGATCCGGACCAAATGAACCGGACTAAAGATTTAAAAGCACGCTGAGATTCCTGAGATCAGAGAACATGTGATTTATAAATCTGAGATATTCCCAAATGACAGATGACATTTGATGCCGAACTCAGCGTCAGAGTCAGATATGATTAATTTCCCTGCATTGTATTTTGCTGGCGGAGGCGTCCTCGCTCTCTCTCTCTCTCACCGATGAGTTAATGGTTGTATGGTGACATCACTGGTGTAAGTTGGAGTGTGTGCGGCCGGTGAGCGCGGCAGAGACACGATGGGCAGCGGGCTGAGAGCTGTGCTGTACGTGTGGTCGTGCTGCCTGACTCCACACTGCCTCTGGGTGAGTGAGCGCACAGCTGCCTTATTACAGATGTTTCTCTGAGCTCTGCCTGCTGAACGTGGTATCATAGACAGATATACTGTATATTCTGTATATTCTGTGTGTACTGTGTGTACTGTGTGTACTGTGTGTACTGTAGCTGCTTCCTGTATCCTCCGTCCGGCTGCCGGTCGGGTCGCTGCACTCAGACTGATGATGTCAGCAGATGAGAGGAAGTGATGAGCAGCCGTTGAGTCACTTCCCAGTCGGTGATGTTTGGTATTCGGAGGAGGAATCGTAGGGAGAAACCAGAGCAGTGATACATACTCTATCTTTGTCTGTGATTCTTTCTGATATTAGTCAACTCTTCTTAAGATAGCAATCTGTGTTTGATGATAAGTCTTTGACCTTTTGGATGATTTAAAGAGAAATGTATTTTAAGTGAGGCTGCTCATTAATCTTTGTTTATAAAATGATAAATATTCGCCACTTCAATTTCCCATAGGCTAATATGACTATTTAAAATTGCTTTTTTGGTCCAACCAACAGTTCAAAACCCCCAAATATTCAATTTACAATCATCATTTAAACTTTAAAAAGCTGAAACCAGCAAATGTTCCACTTTTCTTTTAGATTTTCCTTTTTCAGCTGTAATTTGAAGAATTATCCCACTTTTACACCAATATTAGCACATGTATTCAGGTTTTCTTAAAGCTCCAGTGTGTGGGGTTTAGCAGCATCTAGCGGTGAAGTTACAGATTGGAACTAACTTGGAACAACTTTGCGCGCGACTGGTCTGTATTTGGAATGAGTAAACAGGGCGGTGAGTGTGTGTGAGTGAGAAACTTACGGGGGGTACTTTTAAAAGTTTGAAATCAAGAAGGATTGGGAACCGCTGCTACAGATTGTAAAAAACCAATATATAATCCTCTTGCTGCAGGAAAGTGATAATGCTGTAACCTCTGTGAGCTCGTCCCTGACAGCGACCGTACAGGCAGCCATTTTCAGGAGAGGTCGGTTCGTGTTTGCTGTTTCAACAAACTGAGGAGCTCACAGCAGACTC